CCAAGTACATAGGAGAATTAATCATGTTTATAATCATTTAATTTTCTCCATTCCAGTTTCTTTTTTTTAAATTTTATTTTATTTTTTTAAATTTTATGTGTATGCGTGTATTGCCTGCGTGTAAGTACACCCATATCATGCAATGCCCACAGAGGTCAGAAGAGGCTGTCAGATCCCCTGGGACTGGAATTACGGACAGTTGTTAGCTTCCATGTGGGTGCTGGGACTCGAACCCGGGTCTTCTGGAAGAACAACCAGTGTTCTTAACCACTGAGACATCCCTTCAGCCCCCATTCCAGTTTCTTAAAACTTCAGTCTTGTGATAGAGTTCACCATTTGCTTATTATAGTATAAGAGCAGCAAAAAATTGTTAATATTTCTGTTTCTGTCACTACCAAACTGCTTACTCCTGCACTGATAATTGTATTATGAAAGGTTCCACTTATCATTGGGTTAATTATTAGTGTGGGCTGCAAGACTCTGAAGAGGGCCCAGGCTTGTGTTCTCCAGCTGACTGTACTCTGACATTTCTACAGGGTCATTGTGACATTTTCTCAAAGGCTGTGCTGTTCCTGTCTTGCATCCCACTAAGAGCCACATAGATTTGATTAAAATGGCTATTGTGATAAGGAACAAATTTTGTAAATTTGTGCTGCATTCAGGATTTTTGTTTTATATGTATACATTAATTACTAATAAAATGTGATAGATCGCTTAATCTACTACAGAACAGTAAACATTCTACAGCCTATATACCCTATAAAACCATGTTATACATCTCTAATATGCACGGTAGAATTGTTTTGTGAATGCTACGTATATTTTCCCCAATAAGATTTTCTTTGAGGATTGGATAAATGGCTCTTACAAATGATGAAGGGTGAGAAGTGAAACAAGTAAACCTTGAGAAATGCTGGACATGTGCAAAAGAAACTAGAACAATCTATCTCAAGTACACTTTCTTTACCATATTATACAAATAGGAACATATATTTATCTGGAACAAACATTAATACAACACTAGACTTTTTCTATCTTAAAAGTTTTCAGTGGGCATATATCAGCAGACATTTGACTTTTTAACTGCACAGTGGATTTTAAGGCAGGTTTAATTCATAGCCATCAGTTTCAAATCACTTTTAACACTTATTTTGGTCAAAATCCTTGATTTTAACCCCATCCTAGGGTTAAGGCACCTCTGTTTTGGTCAAAACTTGGGTAAAACATATCCATGAGGGAAAACAAGACTAGATAACAAATGTAAACTGTATTCTTTGAAACTGTTTAAGATTTATTCCTGTATTAAATTTGATCACTGGAAAATTCTGGAAAAGATTAACATCTGGTCTTTCCATGGTTACAATTTCATGTTGAAACATCTGGTTCTTTTCTTTTTAATGAATCTGTTTTCAAAGATAAGATCCCATTACATGATTGAAATTCTTCATAGTAGACCCTTGTAACACATACCTCTTGGAACTGAGGCTCAGGGAAGACGTATTTTTATGAATTGTGTGTTAAACAGGTCTATAAGTGCTGTATAATCTTTTCCACTTTTTAGTTTACTGGGCTGTTCCAAGCTTAGCATGACACCTTGGTTTCCCTTGGTATCTTTTCTCAGGCAAAGTAATTAAAAAAGTAGCAAAGACTGCTCATGAATGAATATTAAATAATTTTTAAAAATGCTGCTGTAGTAACTTTATAGTATAGAATTTATGTTTAACTTAGTTGTCCTTTTAAGTGAAACTATGTGTTAATTAATATAACTCCCCCTCCCCGGGAAATAAAATGGTTTAATACAATTTATTCACAAATGACCGCTGGTTATTGTACACATCTATATTTTAGATTTCTTGAGACTCAGAAACACAGTTTCATGTTCTGGAAAATCATATCACATTTGGATTAAATAGGATGAATTAGAGAAATTTCAAATTGCATCTGAATATCTTGACTTATATCTCCAGTAAAAATTAAACTCTGGCTTAAATTTTCAAGCCGTCTGATACCTCTGTGTATACAATGCACTTGTGAAGGTTTGGCAACATGTCTTATGTATCCACAACTCACTTAGACTCTTGTGTTTCTATTAAATTAATGTAGAAAATATTCAACCTGTGAAAAAGTGGTATTTTAATTTTGCTATTATTTGCTAGCCATTCTTCTTGTAATCTTTGTTCCATGATTCTTAACTTTTATAAACTGCCTTAACTGGAGGATAAATGGTACTGATGTCTTTGAGTCTCCTTTTTGTGGCTAGAATTTCTCAAACCTTAATTCTTGCCCCCCCATTCCTCATCAATCTCTATGTTATCACCTCCCTTTCCCATCCATCCATACAATTCATGGCCCCATTCTTATAATACGTTAAGAAAATAAACTAATATATACTCTATACAACTCTCTTCCTAATGTATTTCCTTAAAAGTCTACTATGATTAAGATTTTGTATATTTCATGTTTGAAATAATATATTAATTTTTGGGTATATCAAAACTATAAGTTGGTTAATTTGAATAAATCATTTCACATGGTATTACAACTAAATAATGCACCCCTCAACTCTCATCAGTGAGGCTTACACACAGAGGCCTCAACTGGCCAAGTTTTGGAGAATAAGAGACTGTAGAGTGTAGGATGGGACTCCTACATAGACCCTCACCCACCCAGGGCTCAGGGACCATTGTGGAAGAGGAGGCAGAAAGATTATAAGAGCCAGGGCTGGTTCATGGAGTATGAGGTTGAGGCTTCCAGGCCCATGGAGGCTTGCTCATGTGTGGCTGCGGCAGCAGTGGTATCCAATGCGGGACCCATGTCAGCTCAATTAAACAAGGGCCCAAAGAGGAGGTGAGAAATAGGTGGCCGGCCAGCACTAGACTGAAAACTATTTGAGACTGATTGCTGCTGGGTGAGGGAGAATATGACTTACATACACTGGATGGGCTGACTAAATGCCAGTGGATATATTTACACTGCAGGACATTTAGGCACAAACACCTGAATGAATAGGATTCAACATATATGGCAGCGTACATAGGGTTTGGTGGGGGGAAGGGGGTGGAGGCATGGATGAGGGATGGGGTCTGGATGTGAGTTGGAAATATTGTATGAAATGTTAAAAGCTCAATAAAAAATAAATAAAAAAGGAGGTCTACAGAGCCTGGGATAGGTTTGCATAGAGGACTGAGAGTGAGAGAAGGGAAGGAGAAGAAGGAGGGAGAAGAGGAGAAGCAATGATCAAGAAAGCTCTTCTTTGATTTACTGTGTCTAGAATAGTTCTGGAACCAGCTTGCATTTTGAAAATCTTGGAAGGAATTCTGAAAGACATTTTTTTTGGAGAAATGACATATGGCACAAATTTCGACATTTAATGTAAGTGGAAATTGTCACACCAGGTTTGACATCAATAAAAAATTAAATTCTATCTGGAAAAAATATAGAACCAAATTATTTTATAAGCCATATATATATTTATATAGTGTGCTTTTAAATGTACATATTTAAGAAAAGACTTTAATTAAAATCACCCTACATGGGGCAATAAGGATCCTCTCCAAAGTCATAGATTATCAAAGAAAAAGCCCAATGCCAGACATAAAATAGCTCCCTTTGAATTGCTGTTGGTTGGTGCGGTGGGGTTCCAGAACCCCCCGAAACAACAGAAGCTGTTGCTTTTATTTTCTCACCAGAACTTGAGAGTAACACCCTATTGCTGAAGACACCACATACTTTGATCAAAGGACATGGAGAAATCAAGTTGATACTGACTGGAAGCATCTTTCTTGCTGGCTAGGTTTCATAGTGACAGAGACTGTTGTGAAGGAAGCTTGGGGGGAAAAAAAATCGACAGATTTACACAGCTGTAAGCCCTGAAGCTACAATAGCAATTTACCTGGTATTTTATGCCCAATTAGTGCAGTAGTAACATGAAGGTCTTGGTGACAAGCAACAGCTTTCTGATTAGATTTTAAGGATTCTACAGGAGGGAAGTCATGCCTGGAACTGAACTGTAAGTCTGGTCATGAACCTGTAGTTGGAGAAGTTCTGGACCCTTGGGGAAAGCTTACTATTACATATGCTACTTTATACGATATACTATTATTACATACTAATAAAAACCATTATTCTTTTACTGAATGGACATAGTATCAAACTTCCTTCTGAATATCTCTTACACTCAAGATTGGAGCAGCTCTCACCTCTCATCAGAGAAACTTCTTTTTGTAGTGGGTAGAGGTTAATACAGAGACTCAGAGTAGAAAATAAGTCACTGTGGCCTGCTCAGCCCATATGGGACATCTATATCACACCTCCTTCCCCAAGACTTGGAAACATCACAGAAGAGGGTTTAGAAGGATTGTGTATGACAGAGGATGTGGAGGACTGCTGCAAAATAATGTCTCCTGGATATGACTGGACCACTGCAATAATCACCTTACAGCAGCTATGGTTGCCCGCACAAGATCAAGCCAGTTAACATTCCAGCATGGATGGAGAGGGGCTCACAAGACCTTACCACAAGCTGGGGAACTATTGGCAGTTGATAAGTGCTAGAGAAGGATCAGTATTTTCAAGGGTGTGGGCCCTGGTAGGTTGCCCATGCTCCACTGGGTGGGCCTACATCCACGCCCTTATAGGCAGCACTAATTAGACTCAGTGGGTTAGATTTTTAAAAAAGATTAAGAGCACATTAGGTTCATGAGGGGATGTTGATGGAGGGGTCTGAGAATAATAGAAGGAGGGATGGAAGGGGTCTGCATGATCAAAATACATTTTATACAGGCATGAAGTTCTCAGAGAAAATACATTAAAAACTAAATTCTATACTTACCTTAATAACCCCATTGAAATTTGTTTGTGTATCAGACACCTTAAATGCTTGCTCTATGGTCACTGAACTCTTTTAGTATGATGAATGTTTGTAATTAAATTCTATTTACACACTTGCTTTATAAGATTATAGAAAATTACTCACATTTTAAATTTATTTTCTTTTGCAGGCCTGAGACTGAGTAAGCACATTAATTACAGCCAGTTGAATGCATTATGCCACATTAGAGGGCTACATAGCAGGTAAGTTATTCATACATTTCTTTCTCTGTCACTGAAATAAATATGAATATGCTTGTTTTATTGATAAAAGATAGTAAAAGCTACCACTGACTCTCATAGGTACCTATTTACTACACATTTGATTTCTGTAGATTGAAGGGAAAGACTATATAGTTACATTTTGAAGAAACTAATTTAGTATGTAATAAGTATAATTTATTCTGAGATGGGCCCTTTTTAGTGCTCAAAAAGTAGTCACAAGGAAAAAGAGAATTAAATGGTTGAAAACACAAATATTGAGTGAAGTGATACCTGAAATACCCTGGACTAGGGAACTAGGAAATATCCTTGCTCAGAGCTCAGGATTCTTAAGAGCTCTCAGACTTGAAAATAGAAAGTTAAAATTCAGCTTTGTTTCCAACACCTTTACCTGAGTCAGAATTCAACTCTGAAATCTTAAAACCGGCCATTTTCTTCCATATCTATCACTGTCAGTCAGCACTATTCCACCTTACATCATCATCTTTATGGTGACACAATGTCTTTATATATATTTTCCCCCTCTTTAAGACTTAGAGGTTTCAGTCACATCCTCTTGACTACTTCAAATTATTTGACATATTCAAATTTTTTGGATTTTTTTTGTATATTTTCACTTATCTTCCCATTTCTGCTTTTTCAGAGGAAAGAAGGCATGAATCTTTAATATTCTCTGGGATTCTACTAAAACAGAATTTTTTGAGAAATACCTCTTTAGAGCCATTGCGCGCGCACACACACACACACACGTGTGTGTGTGTGTGTGTGTGTGTGTGTGTGTGTGTGTGAAGGCTAGAGATCAACCTTAGTTATCATTCCTCAGGAACCATTCCCCTTACTTTTTGAGACAGGATCTCACCAGGACCCAGGGCCCACGGATTAGGCTAGGCTTGCAGGTCAGCAGTCTCAGGGATCTTGTCTCAGCCTTTCCAGCCCTGGGAGTACAGGTGTGTGCTATTATGCCTCAGTTTTTACATGAGTTCTGGGTGTGAGAACCAGGTCTTCATGCTTGTGTGGTAAGCAGGTTACCAACTGAGCCATTTCCCCAGCCCCCTATTGCCCACTTTTCAATGTGATTATTTGTTTTCTGGTTATTGGGCTTTTGTGTTGCTTGTGTTCGGGGACAGTAACTCCTCATCAGATGTATGGTTTTCAGATATTTTCCTCCATTGTTGCAACCTGTTCTTAGTTGGTGATTTTCTTGGCTGTTCAGGTTTTTAGATTGATTATTTTAGCTTTTATTTCCTATGCTTTCAGATCATACATAAAAATTTAAAGCCCAGACAGATGTTGCAAGACTTTCCCTCTAAGTTTTCTCCTGCTAGATTTATACTATATTTAAAATCTCATACTTAAGTATTGGATTGATTTTTGAGTCAAAATACTGTGTGAAATAAGGATCAAATGCCATTCTTATGCAAGTGGGTACCCAGTTTTCCCAGCACCATTCACTGAGGAGACAGATCTTTGCCCCTGAGTATACTCCTGGTACCTGTATGGAAAGTCAATTGGCTCTAAATGTATAGTTTTTTTCTATCTTCTTCCATTGGCACATGCACTGGTCCTCTGCTGCTTTGATTTAAAAGCTTTATAACATATTTAGGAATCAGTATTCATGATGTAATTTTTTTTAAATGCTAAGGGTAGCTTGGAGGTCTTTTGTGGCTGCATACAAATTTTAGGATTATTTTTTATTTCTGTGAAATATGATACAAGAATTCATTTTTCTTTTTGAAAATATTTTATAAAATTTGTTCTTTGACAATCTCATGCACATGTATTCTGATTGTTCGTTGCTCTCTCCTCCCACCATATCTCATCTCCTTCCCATCCCTGCCAATTCTTTTCCCAGATTCATGACTTTTGGTTTTGTTTTCTGACCCATTTAGTTTAACCAGGGCCATCTGTGTATGTAATCATTGGATTAGAACCACCCATTGGAGCCTGCTGGGGTCACCAGTGGGTACAAAACTGAAGATAATATCCCCACCCTCCACTTCCCTGAATCTATCAGTAGCAAGCAGTTCAGCAGTGAGTGGCAAGACTCCTGAAACCTTCCTGTATCCATGCCTCTCCACCAGTGTGCTCATTCTTGTATAGATGCAATGCAGGCATCCGAGGCTGCTGTTGCTCATGATTACAATGGCTGTGCCATGCCCTTCACGGCTGTCCTCCCTATCTTCTGGTTCATACCTTCTTTCTGTCCAATTTTAGGAAATGCTCTATGAGCTATAGAGGGGTTGATATAAGTGTCTTCACAGGCTGAGGACTCATCCACCACTTATTCTCATCACCTGGTGTAGCCTGAGTCTCTGCATTCACCACTGTCTATGGGAAAGAGGGTTCTTTGACTAAGGCTGAAAGTAGCATTTGTACATAACAAACATTAAGAAGGCAGTTTGAAACCATGTTCATGTTGTAAACAAACATTAAGAATGCAGTTTGAAACCATGTTCATGTCATAAACAAACATTAAGAAGGCAGTTTGAAACCATGTTCATGTCATAAACAAATATTAAGAAGGCAGTTTGAAAAAACAGTATTTGGTGCCCCCATAGCGTCTATGCCCTCCTCCAGTTTATTTTTTTTTTTATTAGATTTATAGTACCAGGCATGGAGTAGGCCTCAAATACAATCAGAGACCAGTTGATTACTCCTAAAATAGTAGTACCACTGTTGCACAAATGGGCATACCTCAGCTGGTAGTTTGGTCTCTAGTTCATAGGGATCAAAGTAGAGTCAGGCACTTGATGTCTGTTCTCTTTCACCAGCCTGCAAAGAACCTTCTAGGACTCAGAAAACTAGCCTGCAGAGAAGGAGCGTCTAGCTCAGTTCTGGCTTGATTTCTCTTTATCATGTAACCAAGGAATATGATATCGTTGATAATAGGCTCTAGTTGTGGTGGGCAACCACAATAGAAAGAGCCTGTGTAGTTTTAAGGGCCTTTGGAGCCTCCATGACTAACAACTCATAAGGAGATATTTCTACACCTGCAATGGTTTTTTTTTTGTTTAATAATGCATGGCTTCTAGGAGAAGCCTTTTTCAAACCATGCAGAATATATCTCTTCGAATTCTTTTTTCTGTACTTGTTACTATTTTCTATTTTTTATTGAATTTTTTTCAAAATTTATACAATATGTTTTGATCAAATTTAGATCCCCTCCCCCATCTACACATCTTCTACTCACCACCCAATTTTAATATGCTCTATTTATACCTATATCATCTATCTACCTATATATGTCTAAAGAGTCAAACTTGTGTCCCAAAAAGCCTTTCAGTGTGGGTCCATCCATAGGAGCCTGGTCAGTCTGTGAAGAAAGTCTTACCCTTAAATGAGACTGACTTCCTCCCTCTTAGCAGCCATCCATTGCCAATAGTTCCTCAGGTAGGGTCGGGTTTTTTTTTAACCCATGTGTGAAAGTCCGTGCTAAGATTTTTGTCTTACTTACGTCTACATGAAGCTTGTGTTGGCTGTCACCATTGCTGTGAGTTCATCTGAGTAATTTCCCTGTTGACTGGAAAATTCTTTTTTTCCTGTGGTTATCTACTGCCTCTCACTCAGCTTTCCACCCTTTCTTCTGCAATGACCCCTGAGCCTTGGGAGTCTGAAGTTTGATATAGGTGTCCTATTCAAGGATAAGCACTCTGCAGCCTCTTATTCTCTGCATATTGGCCAGTTGTAGGTCTCTGTGTTAATTTCCATCTGCTGCATAAGGAAGCTTCCCTGTGAGAGTTGAAAGATGTATTACTATTTTCCATCCTTTATCATTGATGGGGAGAAGTGTTTCTTGGAGGCAGCATATTGATGGATCCTGATTTCTAATACAGTCAGTTAGTCTATGTCTTTTTACTGGGAATTTGAGACCATTAATATTGAGAATTATTATTGACCAATATTTATTAGTTCCTGTTATGTTGGTGTTGTAGTGCTGTTTTCTGAGACCTCTTTTACTTAACTAGGTGTTCTGGGGTAATTTATTTATTCTGTGAGCCTTCTTGAGAATGTTTAATCTTCTCTTCAGACTTAAATATTCCATCAAATATTTTCTATAGCACTGGTTTCATGGATATAAATTCCTTACATCTGTTTTTATCATGGAAAGTTTTTCTTTCTCCTTTTATCATAACTGATATTTTGCTGAATATGGTAGTGTGGGCTGGATTTTGTGTTCCTTGATGATTTGTAGGAAATGGGTCTAAGCCCTTCTGGTCTACACAGCATCCTTTGAAAATTCAACTGTTATTTTCACAGGCATACCTTTATATATATCTTGATCTTTCTCTCGCAGTTTTCAATATCTTTTCTTCTTCTATATGTTTAATGTTCTGATTATTATATGATGTGGGGAGTTTCGTTTTTGGTCTGGTTTACTTGGTGTTCTATATGCCTCTTTTACCCTGATAGGTGTTTCTTTCCCTAAATATGGGAAGTTCTATGATTTTATTAAAAATATATTTTGTGCCTTTGACCTGGGTTTCTTTTCTAAGGCCATGACTCATAGGTTTTCATCTTTGTACAGTGTCCAAGAGGTCTTGCATATTCCATTCTTGTGTTGTTTAAATTTGACATTTTCTTTGGTCAATGATCCATTTCCCCAACCTTGTCTTCAAGATGGGCTATTCTCTGGTCCATTTCCTCCACTTCCTATTTGTTTTTTTTCCTCTAAGTTTTCTTTTTTGAGTTCCTGAGTTTTTTATTTCAAGTTTTATTTCAGTTTGGCTTTTGTTCAGACATTCTCTCTCTTTAGTAAATTCTAATTTCACATTTTGAATTATTTTAGTCATTCAACTACTTGGGTTTTCACGGTCTTAATTCAACCTTTTATTCATATTTTCTTTGAGTTCTTTGAACATATTTATGATTGCTATTTTGAAATCATTGTCTTATGGATTTCCTAGGTTTCCATTCTTAAGAAACATTATGATGGAGGTGCTAATTTCTGAAGTAGACATATTATATTGGTTATTCATGTTGTT